GCCATGCCACTGCCGAATCTGTAATATGAGAAAAACAGAAATGGATTACCAAGTCGTCACTGGTAGTCTACAGGGAGGCGAGGGGGGAGGACGCCCTGACAAAAATGAGTCTGGTTTTACTAGGGGTGGTAAAAGAGCTGACGAGTCTTTTGTTGTTTGTAATTGATCGGCAGAATGAAAGAGGGTATGAAAACGTAAAGGTCTGCTAAATACTAAAATAGTGTAGCACTAGTTAGATATTGCCGAAATCTGCAAACTGAACCGTGACCAATGGCTTGGTTTTATACGGAGGACAGTGAAAACAAGTAGTGCGGATGGGGGATAGCTGCGAAAAACGGACAGTTAGTGAAATTTTCTGCAGAAAATCACTTTGCGTTCATTAATCTATGACAACTTCAAACTCGACTGTATAAATTGGTTAATTCAAGCTGCGTCTGACTAGTCAATTATTTGGAACTGAGTTACTCAGTTAATAGAAGAATTCGAAAGTAGGTTTGGCAAACAATTGTTTTCGGTCCCTCGTCTTCAGACATATACAAGGGGACATGGAAAATAAAGTATTGAATTATGCATAGGTGTTATATGGTTGCATTCAGGTGGCAAAATCGTGCAGACACTGCAGGGTGGTCCGCAAATCATTATACCATTGCAAATTTTGAGAAACTTTCTGTCCTACGTTTTTTGTTTCGAGCATAAATTACTTTTTCCACGGAGAATGATTATAGAGACATTCACGACGAAGCAATGCCCAACATGCACTGAATTTATAAAGTATACACAATCATCTAGTTCAGAAAAACTCGTTGGCTTCGGTGGGAGTTTGAACCTACGAAAAAACTGGTAAGGCGCGGCTACTCAGATCATTCAGACCTGCAAAAATTCAATCGATTCTCAAATGTAGTGTAATTTGTAGACCACTACATAAGACTGTAACATCATCCAGTCTCAATGCTGCTTAAGGAGGTGATCAGTGATGATGATAAGAGGACGAAAAGGGGGGAGGAGGTAGTAGCAACAAAAACAGAAACATTCGAGTGGCAGCTTCAGACGCATTAGTCATCAATAGTTATTGCTACCTCAAGCCCGGATGCTAACGCAACCCTTCAAGACTCTCCGTTGAATTATGGACTCATATCAAATTGGCCTCAATGCAAAATGAAGTACTCCGCTCTGTCCTGCCACAACTAAAAGGAGCGGTCGTAGACCCTTAATTCTCCAGCAAAACTCTTGAATTTCATTCCGCAATAGATTGGTGCTGTCAACTGTTAAAACGACTGAAAGGGCGTTTCTCCAAGTGTCTGACGTTCTACTGATAGAACAATTAATCAACTTCGCATAAAGGACCCATCTTACTATCACGACAAAAAAATTGTCGTCCTGTGAGTCACGCAGTTTTCATTCGGGCGATAGGGCTGGGGACGAAATCATAGTTTAGATAACAAACGCCACTCGCCTCATAGTATTAATCCGACTATTAAAACTTGTTTTGAGAGTCGACGAGAATGGAATGTTTTTGTTAGAACAAATTATCGCCACAACATGGACTGAAATTCAATATTCCACTGTGCACATGGGGTAAGATCTCTGGCAAGACCTGCGCGAAACGCGTCATTTCCCACCAAAACTGTGACAGTATAGTGTGTCCCTCTCCTTTGATTTTCACAGAAACATAGACCTGCAACAGTCCAGACGTAAGGCGCATCGAGTGTGCATTTGGACAGTCAAGCAGGCCCACGCCTTACCCAAAAGGAGAAATAAAGTAAGTTCTCAAGTCGCCGCTCTCTCGACGGCACCCGGTCACACCTCACAGTTCGACGAGGTCGAAGTTCCCCCGAGGGTGATAACCACGTGGGTCACGAACTGCCTGAATTATGGTTCCCCATACATTAAGAGGCACAGTGATTTTTCCCCTGTTCCTATTCAGTACTAATAATACTTTGACTGGACAGAACAAGGAGCATGTGGGTGAGAATTCCTCCCAGTGGGCGAATAAAATCGAAGAGTAATGAATTCTTAGCAATAATCAATTTGATTAAGACCAACTAAATAACCAGTGTACCACAATTGGGTGAAAGTGGAGGCTGCTACTTTTACGATGCCTAAAGTTTCAGCATGACAGTTATGCGGCACTAAGGCGGCATGAGTAAAAGGCATCCACAAAGTCATCAGCAGCATGATAGTTCGACCGTCGTAAATAACGTACTGTAACGAGGATGCAACGTTGACTCGCACGTGAAGCGAAGAAAATTGAGTCAGCCTTTTAAGGCAGCTACTTCACACACGTTTTAGTGGCGAAACAGTGAAAACGACTGGAGATGGGCATGGGTGCGGTGGTTGAGAAGGCTTGAAAAGTAATTTTATGTGATATATATGACCCAGTTCCTAATTTCTCACGCACTGGCACTCAAATGCGGAGAATAGCAATGAATGTCTCCCGGGGCGAAAACTTCTACGAAGGCCACAGCATTAAGGAATTACTGCAGTCCGACCCTCAATCGCGTTATCCTACAGGTGAAAAAAATCAAAATCAAGACTGTGGGCACGTCCGAGAGGCCAGGTGCCGAGCGCTATTTACGTCGACCTTTCCTCTCTATCATAAACCAAGATCACACTATGAGCGGACGGTGATAACGGTTAGCTTGGTTTAGATAAGACCTTTAGACGATACTATGCAGAACGCCATTTGAAGAGGGATTCGCAGGACGAGGGTAAACCACTGAATTCCGCCTAAACGTGAGCGTGAGAGGGTTAGCCAACAAGGACGTAAGCCATCTTGGCCCTTTTTTAGCGGCGGACAGCAGACTCCAATTAGCTTTTCTGTAAAGTGAAGCCTTGTGGAGGGCACACAGGTCTCCGTGCGACTGGCTGATTTCACACACCAGTGGATGAAAAGGTGAGTACACTCCTGTACAGGCGAAATACTTTTGTAAATATTTAACAGCGCCTAGGAATGCAGGTTACACACTTGTGATCTCTTCAGTTCAACAGTCATGGAGATGTAGAGCACAATTAAGCAAGTAAAACAGAGTACCCTCAGAAGCATCAGTTCAATACTGATTTTA